TGGCGACATTCGATGAAGCCATGCGCAGGCCCGACTCGGACCACTGGCTCTCAGCCATGAGAAAAGAAAAGAATCTCATGTCCGAGATGTGCGTATACGAGCTCGTCGAACTTCCGGCTGGTCGTAGGGCGATCGGCTGTCACTGGGTCCTTGAATTCAAAAGTGACCTAAAGGGTGGGTCCGTGTTTAAAGCGCGCCTTGTGGCGCAAGGGTTCTCGCAGATTCCCGGTGTTGACTTTGGGAAGACATTTGCTCCGGTCACCAAGTCAGCCTCCATCCGCATTCTTGCCGCTTACTGTGCGATGCACGACTGGGAGCTCGATTGCTTCGACGCAAAACACGCGTTTCTGTGGGGTAAGTTGCAAGATGTCTATTTGCGACAACCCCCTGGATTTGAGCATCTCGGCAACAACCACATGTGCCTGGTCTGCCATCTGCTTTCCTCGCTCTACGGGCTTAAGCAAGCCGCGTACGATTGGTACGAGCTGCTTCATGCGGTGCTAACGTCCCTCGGCTTCCTTCGATGCAAAGCGGACTATGCAGTCTTCATATTCGACCACATCAATGGCGAGGGGGTGCGTGTGATCTGTGTCATAGCCTGGCACGTGGACGATGGCCTTGCCAGGTCAAATAATTGTCTATTCCTTGATCGCACGAAGGAGGCGATTGCGACCCGCTTCGGCATATCGGATCTTGGTCCTGTCACCAAGTATCTGGGAATTCAGTTCATCAGAAACCGTCAGACGCGCGAACTGTGGCTACACCAGGAAGACTATATCATGTACCTGTTGGAGGAACATGGCATGACGACCTGCAATCCTGTCTCTCTTCCCATGGACCCTAACTTTCCATTCAGGCGTCCCACAGACGTTCACCCGCACGTTGATGACTTACAGGTCGAGTATCGAAAGCTTGTTGGCGAGCTTCTTTATCTCGCAATGTACACTCGACCTGACATAGCTCTTACGGTGATGCGACTTGCTCAACATAATGTCTCTGCCGAAGCACGTCACTATTCAGCAGCGAAGCACGTCCTCCGGTACCTCGCAGGTACCCTTGGGATGCATGTCCATTACGGTGGCCCGTCAGTCAATCCTGAGCTACACGGATTCAGCGATTCTGACTGGGCATCGAGTCCAGAGGACAGGATCTCGATCTCAGGCTATGTCTGGTTCCTGAATGGGGGGCCAGTGTCTCATTCTGCAAAGAAGCAAACCACACATGCACTCTCCTTGACGGAAGCGGAGTACATGGCGCTGACGGCCGCGATTCAGGATGGTCTTTGGCTCCAATCATTCCTCGGATGTCTCTCAATCCCCTTATCCCTCCCCTTGCGATTGTTCGCTGACAACGCAGGCGCCATCGCACTATCCAAGGATGCAGCAAATCATATTTGCACTAAACATATTGATTTACGTTACCACTTCATTCGTCGACACGTCGAAAACGGCACCTTCCTACCTATCTGGTTATCGACTCACAAGAATACAGTGGATATATTCACCAAAGTACTGCCGCGACCGTTGTTCGTCATTCATCATGTGGGTCTAGCGCTTGTGTCGCATTGAGGGGGTGTTGCATCGTTGTTACATCATCTCATTGAGGGGGTGTGTTGAGCGTTCCAACTTCGACTAGTATGTTAGCATTCCTTTTTGTTTGTTCTCTCGGACTCTATACTGTACTATATAGTCTTGATGTGTCGCGTTGTTTGTACCTCAGCGGTTTATCTACAACGCTGAGGTATAGTTCATATTTCTCTTCTCGCCGGCTCTTACTTATGACCTTTCGTCTCTAGACTTGTGTCATAGGTATTGTTAATACTCAGCGGTTTATCTACAACATTGAGACTTGTGTCATAGTATCTCTGTTAACACGTCTCGCTGAGAAATTTGTGGCGTAAGTGAGACCAAGTGAAGCGGATCACGTTGGCCATGACAAAGAAGTTTTGAAACTTCGCCTTGATTTCGACACATCCATTCTGAAAAAAAAGAGGGGTTAGCCTATCCGCAAACAAGAATGAAAACTCACTTGGTCAAAAGTGTAGATATGCATGAAAACGAGTCCATCCGCATCACACATGATCTTTTCGATCATGCGTTTGCGAAAGACGACAGCAGGTGCGGTACTGTGCTGCAGAGGGAAAAGTCGGTACGTGTGGAAGACGCCGTCCCGTGCGAATTCAACGAGCTTCCCGCGCGTGGACGACAACGCATTCGCTACTTCTTTGCAATGTTTGTTAGTAATGAATTCCTGAAATGTCACTAATAAAGGGTCAGTGTGATGCTAACAATCATTGAGATAAAAACTTACTGTTAGGCCCAAAACAACGTGGGACGGAGTCCCGGATGACTTGATTCAGCATTATCTTCTTGGCGGCTTTGTTAGTCGCCATCGCTTGCTCCTCGAATAGCTCACGCGTGACCAGCTGCGTTGCTGTTTTCATGGTCTGGCCGATGATGTTGTCTGTTAGTTGGATAAGGTCAGGCATTGAGGACATCATAGGTTGCGAGGTGGAGGCTGAGGCTGAGGCTGTGGGAGCGGATTCGGAAGCGCCTTGTGGGCGCGTGGTTGGGTAGGGGATCAAGCGTGGCGTAGGTGGCATAGTTCGTCGTTGGCCTCGCCGCTTTGGCTCCCTTGCCGGGCCCGCCGTCTGAATGATGGAAATTAGCGTGAAATTGATTGAAGAAAAACAAACTTACTTACATGCATCACATCCGTGCGTGGAATTTCGCCTTGTTGTATGGGCGTCGCATCAGATGCGCTTGTGCCGGCGGCAGTGCCTTGGGAGGATCCTTGAGGTGGGTAAGCGCCCTGGGAGGGCGCTTCCATGGACACAGTGTTGTAAGAGGGGCCCGCCGTCTGATTGTGGTAGGAGCCGTGAGATAGGTAGTTGAAGGAAGCGCCCTGGGAGGGCGCTTCCATGGACGCAGTGTCATAAAATTGATCGTTGGAGTTGTAAGGGTGAGGGTGATCATCATTGAAGTTGGTGCCATGCTCCAAAGACAAAGTGTCATAGGAATGGCTGTAAGATAAGCGACTATCGGTGTTGGCGCCCTGCATGCTCCAGCTATGCAGGGCTGCGGAATGATGAGCGATCAGTCAACGAAAGTGTGATGTCGGACTTACAGCTGCTCCCACTTGGCATTGGGGTGGGAAGTGCGCTATCGTCGTTACTGCCCTGCCAACTTCCAGGGGCCGCATGGGCGTCGAAGTCAAAAGAGGACATCTGTGGCTGTTCAGTGGGGATATAGAGTTGGTCAGTTGCTGGTTCGCCCGATGGATTGAGGCCAGAACCTCGCGGTGGCTTCGGAACTTTGGCCTTAGTTTTGCGCTGTCGCTGAGAGTTATGCTCACTAGGCATTCAAGGGTGGAGGGGATGTGAGAGCGCACGCATGCATTTAAACTGCAAGTTGATGTAATAGTACATAGGGGGAAAAGAGGCACAGACTTTACACAATCTTTACAAACCGGGAATGCGTGGCAGGCTGATAAGGTGATTTACAAACAAAGCAAGGTGATTTACTAACGAAGTGTAAAAAGAGGGGAGGGGCATGGTCCGATAAGGTGATTTATGAACGGCAGGAAGACATATATGAACGGCCGGGGCGGGCGAAGCACTTTATTGAACGGTCGAAGCAAGGCGGGACCAGTTGATAACAATCTATGAACAGTGATGACTGAATTGAATGTCACTGATAATGATCAGTGTGAGTATTGTGAACGGCTTGGCAGTCACATACCATTGATGGTCACAATTACACGCTGCGTGAGTCCTGCTGGCTGGGCTGCCCGACTGAATCATCATCTTCGCCAGAATCCGTATCGGTGTCGGTATCGGTGATGACACCGGCCTCCGTAAAACCACCCCCCAGCGCACGTGTGATACTGTCCTTATTTTGCAAAGTACCAACAAGACGAGGGAGGTAGGGAGTTTCGCCGGTAGACGCTAATAATTCACGTCTGGCGCTGGAGCCCAGGTGTTTTGAGATTATCTCTGCTTGGGCGGTGATGGCGCGAAGGATCTCGCATTCATCATTGTAGACGGCTTGATTGTAATTTGTATCATCGTCGATTTCTGTGCGGTCACGCTCGGAAAAAATGTTCCTAATCTTCTTCAGCTGTTTGTCCTTCAAATTGAGCCGGTTTTTGTTCTCCTGGTGAAGCGCCTGATTGAATGCGCTCATGCGCTCTGAGGCTTCAACCTGCCATAACGATGTTGCTACTTCATGGCGAGCAGCCTCGCGACCAGCAAGTACTGCCTTGAACGCTTTGTACAATGTATCAAAGCTCATCTGTGAGAGGCCACTGGATATTGCATCCTCGTGCTTTTGAACATAGACTATGTGAGAACTGGAGAACTTGTATAACAAAGCGATGAAAAGACAAATACCTCTTGCAGTTGTTCAGGTGTAAAGTTGGGTTGGCGTACTCGCCCTGTCACGCGGTTTGCAAACTGAAGCTCCAGTGGAGATGGCCTGGGAGGGTATGGTACATGCCTCTTGGATGGCTTCTCACGCAAGTAAGCTGCCCGAGAAAGTGACCTTGGTGACTGGAAACTGTCAGGCTGATACAACAGGCTTTCCTTTACATCAGGAAGGTACTGAAGCTCCTCCACCGGGGAAAAGCAAAAGTTTGGAGAACCTGAAGGATAGGGGGATGTCTTGGGGGAAAGTAAACAGTCAGAGCCAGATAAGAGCTCAGTGGCCATGATATGGGGTGACTCAAGGTAGTCAACCTTCTTATAAAACTCCAAGGGAGTTAATTCTACACGGGTCGCACTGCTTGATGTAGTGCTGGTGAAAGTGGGACTGCTTAGTCGAGCAGGAGATGAGACCGGTGATGAAGACGCAAGTTCCATTGGCCTAGCGCGATGACTGTGCGCTGCGAAATGTGAGGTATTTGGACTTTGAATGACTTTAGTTTTTTCAGGTGCACTCACTCACCAGCTAAAGTCTAAGTCAAGTCTGCGCTACAATGTAAGTACTTCCGTTGCTCACTTCATGATACCGTACATACCTCAAATTGGCAGGCTATGTCCCAACTGTAAACTGGGGGACTATCCATCCATTGAGGCGCTTATCTCACATTTCAATTCTCCATCTACTTGTTGGCCATTCAACGCACGACCACAAACATTACCTGTCCCTTCTGTATTCAATCAATGTGGCTGGATACCTGTCACTGGTACCTGTTACCCGCAATCTGGGTACATCTATGGTGTTGGTAGAAATATGCTGGATAAGTTAGAAGATGATCAATATGCACATCGACGGAAGAGAAATCCTTATTACCCCTTCCATGATGAAGGTGAATGGGAATTAGGGAAGTTTTTGGTGGAAAACCTTACTCAAACTCAAATAACCAAATTTTTGAAGTTAAGATGGGTAAATGATGAATATTGATCTAAGCTGTACTCCTAACTCTTGCCTTCACAGTTTGACTCTCCGGATCGTGCAAAACCATCTTTTACCACAAAAGATTGCCTCCTGGACTGGATGGACTCACTGCCTTCTTTTGCCCCGTGGAAAGTCTCTAAAATAGAATTTAAAGGCTATAAGACTGTCCGCCCCGTGGAGCTTGTTTGGCGCGATGCGCTGGAGGTTGTCAAGCAACTATTCAGCGACCCAACTTTTGCAAACCACATGACCTTTCACCCTCACATCGCTAACGTCGAAAATAAGCGTGAATACGGAGACTACATGAGTGCCGATATGGCATGGAAAATTCAGGTTTGGTCGCCCTGTTATTAATATAATCCTCACCAATTGTGATTTCTAGGACTATCTCCCATTGGGTGCGACTCAAGTCCCGATAATCTTAGGATCCGACAAAACTCCCGTAACATGACTTACCAGAGGAATTGAGATGCACCCAGTCTTCGTTACCATCGGTAACATTGATTCTGAGGTTCGTTCCAAAGCAACATTATGAGCTTGGCACTGCATAGCCTACATCCCTGTCGTCAAGTTCCGCGTCCATCCAGATTACCAGTCTATTCTCCAAGCCAGACTGTGGCATAAGTGTATGGACCTTGTTTGCGCCAACCTCAAGGCCGCAGCGAAGGATGGCTGCTTTATGCCTGATCCTTCCCGTTACATTCGTCATGTGTTTACGCCGCTCGTCGCTCATGTGTGCGACCTACCGGAGGCTACTATGATCGCTGCAGTCAGCAAAAACGCATCCCCGCTAACTATGGCAACACAAGCGGATTTTGGCGATGGAATTCTCCACCCCCCTCGTACCGGGAAGCACACATTGCAACTCATTGTGGAGATATCCCAAACGGTCGATCCCTGGGATCTCGACAAGTTCCAGAAAGCGGCCAAAGCCGTTAATCTATCTGGTGTTCATATGCCACACTGGCGCGATTGGATGTTTGCATGTCTGTCCGTTTTTCTCGCCAGCGAAGTGCTGCACACTTGCCATAAATTTTTCACGGATCATCCACTGAAATGGATCAAAGAAATTGTAGGACATTATGAGCTTGATACTCGCTTCATGGTCCAGCACAAGCGAGTCGGAACGCGCCACTTTATGAAAGGTATCACTCACGTTAATCAGATGACAGGCCACGAGCATAGAGACATCCAACACACTATCGTTGCATCGATCGCAGGGGCTGTTCCACCCAGATTTGTTTGTGCAATTCGTGCCCTCGTGGAGTTCTTTTACCTCACACAGAATCTGGTTCACTCACCTCAATCACTTCAGTCAATGGTTCAGGTGCTTTCAGATTTCCACTCTTTCAAGGATGCTATTGTCCAGGCCGAGGCAAGGAAGGGGAAGAAGGGTATCAAAGAGGATTTTTTCATCCCCAAACTCGAGCTTCTGCAGAGCTTCGATGGTACGATTAAGAAATTGGGCACTTTGATGCAGTTCTCTGCTGACGTGACGGAGCGGTTACTTATCACACATTGTAAGGACCTTTTCCCGCGGACATCCCAACAAATCAAAGATTTTACGGAGCAGTGCATGCGGATTCTTAACCGCCAAGAATCTATGGAAATGTTTGGCCTGTACACACTGCTGACTTCTCGCGGGGCGTCACTGGTTAATGCCATACATGCCGAAGATGAAGATATCACAACTACCAATCCTGCACTCTCCTGGGTTTCCCGAGTTCTTCCTGACGAAGTCAGGTCAATCCATGGTCCCCGACCAGTCCATAATCACTTTTTCAAAGGTATTCTCTCTGGGGATGCGCTCACCGCTTTTCAACTCAATGTCGCACCTGATTACAAATCACTGTCACCATCTGAAATACGCAGGAAATATGCAGTCCTCGACTTTGATCGTGCGCTCGCCAACTTCATTTGTCGTTCCTCCCTTTCCAGCGGTGAACATTCCCGCTGGGACCCCAAATATGGGTGCTTCCAGGTATGGCACAAGTTTCGATTGCAGCTTCACTCGGCCTTCCAGCCACGAGTCATCATGCCAAGTCGAGTGGTGCAAGCATACCCACCAAGCGATGATTTCCCCTTGGGAAATTGTGATACTGTTCTCATTGACGCCATGGGCACTAACGGCAAAATGAGTATGTCTATTTCATGTGCTTATGTTGTAGCCCTACTGATATCATGTACAGCGAGTTATATCGCACAGGTTCGACTCATTTTTCAACCAATCGTTCGACGAGGTTCCAACCTGGAACTACCGTCATATCTCTCCGACCCACTCCTCTATGTCCAATTTTTCCGCTTCATTTCCAGCCCTGATGATCGTCCCGAGCTCGCGATGTGGACCGTGGAGCGCGCATACACACAGGACGAAAACGGTAACCGCTGTAGGGAAGGGGCTGTCGTTCGAGTGACAGATGTGACGCATGCAGTTGAATTAATTCCAGTTTATGGCGAGGCAGTGGCTAACGGCGTGTCCTCTGCGACTTGTTTGGAACACTATGAGTGTTTCTTTCTGAACAGCTTCGCAGACAAGGAGAGTTATCATACATTCAGTACCGAGTTTGTATAGACAGTGGCTTAATCAATATGTAGCAATTGCTATCGCATTCATCGTATTGTATCTGTGAGTGTTAAGAACGTGCTCAAGGGTCGGATCCGAAGGGCTTGGCTTCAGCTCGTGCGCTGCGCCCCTTACCCGAGTACGTGCCCCTAACTTCCGAGGGTGGTTGAACGATGTCCGAAGTTTACCGGACGATGTCCGGAGGGCGTCGGGCGATGTCCGGAGTCCGATGTCCGATGCGCGGGAATTCCGGCGGACGTTCGGAAACAAGAGATAAGACTAATCCGGACGAAGTCCGAACTAGAAAGGAAACAGCGGAGGACTACCAGAGGTAGAGGCGGAGGTGACAAGTCTATAGGAGTCGATCCTAAGACGAGCGGAGGTCGACGAGAGAGAAACTCGAGTCGGACGGAGGAGAGAATGAGCAGAGTCTAATATGATATTCGAACTGAGGAAACTACAGAGATTGTACAGGGGTTTATATACTACTGAGGACATAACGGAGAATAGTAAGTGCAGTGCGAAGCTATGTAAAGCTATGAAGAAAACATATGGTACGACTATCACTAGTCTATCGGAACTTAGTAAAATGAAGACGGAGATGAATGAGGAACGGAAAATAAAGCGTACTAACTGATAAGGGAAATACCAAAGGGATAAGGCGCGGAAGTTAGACGCGGGTCGGATCCGGACGATACATAGAAGTCGGCCGGATCCGGAAATCCGGAAATGATGAGTGTGATAGGTCCGGGTCCGGAACGCGGGATATGACAGTATCCCCCCTTTAGGGCCGAGCCCACGAGGCTTCTGATTCGGAAGTCCGGACCGGACTTTTATGAATGCGAGATGATGGGCGGAGCTCGTAAAAATAGCACTGAGCATATAAGTAGGCCGGGGCGCCCATGAGACGTCTAAAACTTTCCCTTTAACTCCTATTACTGCTTTTAACATGTCTAACTCCACTTCCGGCAACAAGAAGACCGCCCGGCAGGTTCTCGAAGAGAGACAGGCGGAAATGGCGGCCGAAATTGCGCGGCTTGAGGCGGACGCTCGGAGAGAGGCGGAGGAAGAGGAACGCAAACGCAAGGAGGCGGAAGAGGAACGGAAACGGATGGAGGAGCAGAAACGGAAGGATATCGAGGAGACTCGGAAGAGGTTGGCTGAGCGCGAGCAGGAGCGTTTGGCAAAGGCTAGGATGGGTAATGTGTCGGAGGTGAGTCGGATGAGGTTTTTTGCGTTTTTTCCGGAGTTTAACAATTTTTAGTCCTCCGGTCCGGCGGATCCGGAGGTTGCGTGTGAGATGTGTGTCCTTAGGCGCAAGATCTGCACCTGGGCAGTAGCGTCTAGGACGCCTAGGGTGAGTTTTTCTGTTTTGTCCGGATCCGGATGACTACTGATGATTTCCGAAAGATCCGGACGTGTGACCAGTGCCGCGCGTCCAAGGAAAAGTGCGTCGGCGGAAATCCGCCTGTCAAGGCGCCGGCCGGCAAAGGCAAAGGCAAGAAACGCACGCGTCCGGAGGGATCTCCGAGCCCCAAGGGCAAAGGAAAAAGACGTCAGCGCAGTCCGGAGGACATCGACGACGACATAGAAATAGTCTCCAATCCCCGGACGGTTATTGGAGAGGATCAAGACTGGGCGGAGTACGACGACCAGGCCTGGGTCGCAGCCGCCAACAACATAGTTGCGGAACTGGCCCGGACGAATGGGCTGATGGAGAGGGGTATTGCAGCGGCGGAGGGAAGTAGAGCTGCGATGGACCGGGTGAGTGAGACCATGCTCCGGTTCATGGAGGAGCAGAGGGAGTTTCAGACTCTCTTCATGGAGAGTCTGAGGGGCGGTTTCCGGATGCATGTAGAAGATGCTCCGGAGGAGGAAAATGAGGAGGAGGCGGAAAAAGAGGCCGGCGGATCCGGCGGAGACATGGAGATGGACTCTTAGGTCGTCGGATCCGAAGTCCGGATGTCGGACGCCTAAATAATGTACATATATGCATGTTTTTCCTTACTCTTTGTTAGAAGTTGGTCCCGGCTTGTCCGGATATGCTGAATGGAAATCCGATAGAAGTTCCGGCGCATTTCCGAGTTCGGTTGCGAGTATCCAGGAAGTTTCTTCAATAATCCATATGGTTTGTGTCGCGGAACTTTAGCTCGGGCGCAGGTCGTGCAGGACTTAACATAGTCCTTCACATATGCGCGGATTCCGGGCCAGGTATATTCCCGACGGATAACTTCCAGGGTCCGGTTCTGACCGAAATGTCCGGATAGCGGGTGGTCGTGCGTATTCCGGAGCACTCGGAGACGGAGGTCATTGGATTCTGGAACGTATATACGGTTGTCGCAACGGAGGAAACCACTCTCGTCCACTGTCCATCTCGGGTCCGACGGATCCGGAAGATGACAGGAAGCGATAGGGTCATTAGGGAGGGCGGACAGAATGTCCTTATGAAGCTGCTCGACATCCATCAGTACAGCTGTCCGGAGCACCGGAATTGCTAGGTGTGATGCCCGGAGGGACGAAGCGAGCTGTTCTGTGGTAAATATCGGCCGGAGGTTGTGTGGATTAACTTGAGCGTAGTCCTTATCCCCCTCTTTGGGGTAGACGTCCCAACGTCTAGTTAGGCAGTCGGGCTTAGCTCCGAGTTTTCCGGGTCGGAAACGGATAATGAGGTTGAACTGTGAAGGTATTCCGACCAGCGGGCCTGGCGGCGGGTGAGGAGTTTTGTGGTAGCGAAGTACTCAAGGTTCTTGTGATCCGTGACGACGTCTATCGGCTCGGCAGAGCCTTCAAGGTAGTGTCGCCAGGACCGGAAAGCTTCGTAGATAGCTAGAAGTTCCTTATCATGGGTGTCATAGTTGAGTTCCGGAGCCGAAAGGGTCGGGAGTAAAAAGCAACCGGGCGGAGCTCCTGGTCCGGACATACTATAGAAAGTATTCCGGCGATAGCATAGTCGGAAGCGTCCGTCTCAACGACGATAGGAACATCCGGCATCCAGTGCGTAAGCACCGGAGCGGTAGTGAAGGCTTTCTTGAGAGTTTCAAAAGATTTCCGGCAATCCTCGGAGAAATTCCAGGGAGCATCCTTGCGAGTGAGCCGCGTAAGCGGAACTACAATATCCGAGTAGTTAAAGATGAAGCGACGATAGAAATTGGCGAATCCGAGGAACGATTGAATATCCTTGACTTTCCGAGGTTCCGGCCAGTCGCAGATAGTCTGGACTTTGTCGGAGGACATTGTAAGTCCGGCCGGAGATAGGAGGTAACCGAGGTATTCTACAGAGTCGGAATGGAATTCGCACTTCTCCGGTTTAGCATATAGCCGATGCTTCCGGAGGCGTCGGAGGACTTCAAGGACGTGTTTTTTATGAGATGCAAGGTCTGCGGAATAATGAGGATGTCGTCGAGGTACACAATAACACAATGTCAAGCATATCGGCAAAGATGGTATTGACAAAGCGCTGGAAAGCCGCCGGAGCATTGGTGAGACCCTCCGGCATAACCAACCATTCATACGAGCCGTAGCGCGTCCGGAAAGCAGTTTTCCACTCGTCTCCTTCCGCCATCCGGACTAGATGGTATGCGGACCGGAGGTCGATCTTAGTGTAAACTTTAGCGCGGCTCGGAGAATCGAGAAGGTCGGAAATGAGGGGAAGCGGGTAGCGGTCTTTCTTTGTGATTTTATTGAGTCCTCGGAAATCTACACAGAGGCGTAGGGAGCCGTCCTTCTTTTTGACGAATAGGACAGGGGCTCCGTGCGGAGAGGATGAGGAACGAAGAAGTCCGGTCGCAATATTCTCATCAAGGAATTTGCGAAGAGCTACAAGCTCAACCGGAGAAAGGGAATAGATGGTGCCAAGGGGCGGAGCCGCTCCTTCTTCCAATTCGATCTTTAGATCATATGGACGATGGGGAGGGAGCTGTCCGGCTTTGCCCTTATCAAAGACATCCGCATACTCGTGATATTCCGAAGGAATTCCGGATAGGTTCGGAGGTTCGGAGGAGAGTGTAGCGGAGCGGAGATTGACACCGGACGGACGAACAAAAATACTGAACTGAACCGATCCCTCTAATTTACAGGCCCGGCAAAAGGCAACTGCATTGATTAGGGAAATATTAGGACCGGCATTATCAGCGGAGGGACTCGGCGAGGTTGAGGAAGGGATTTCCGCCGGAGCCGGCGGAAAAGAGGTCGGAGGGGTCGGAGGCACTCCATGAGGAATCGGACGGAAATCGATGCTGCCCTTTACCCAGTCAATCAACGGATTGTGTCGGGTGAGCCAGCTATATCCTAGAACGATGGAACAGGATGAGTCCAGCGGAGTAACATAAAATGTTTCGGAGGTAACCACGCCGGTCGGAAACCGGATCGGTAAATCTACTGCCTCAGTAATAGTGGCATTAGAAGTACCATCAAACAGATGGAGCGGAAGCGGAGGAATTGCATAGGTTGGAATGTTATTTTCTCGGATTAATCTGGTTTCTATAAAACAATGAGACGATCCACAATCTACAAGAGCCGGAAACGGAGAGATATCGGGAAAAGTAGAAATTGAAACGGATGGTACTAGAGAGTTCGGATCGGAAAAGGAAATAGCGTTGAGACGTAGCTCCATTGCACGGGTTGAGTCAACGCAACCCTCGTCCCGCGCGGAGTCAGGAGGGTTGCGGACTAATTTTTTGTCTCTTCCGAGACCTCCGGTTTGGCTTCCGGAGTCACCGTGCTAGCACGACCTTTGGCCGCACGGGAAGTGGACTTTAGGCAGTCCCGGGCAGTGTGACCGGGTCCGCCGCAGAAGAGGCAGAGCTTCTTCTCCATGCGCCTCTGGCGTTCCTCGGAGGTGAGTTTGCCGTCTTTTCCGAGCTTGGACGTCAAGTCCGGAAGTTTGGCGGAGGAGGAAGCCGAAGCGTTTCCGGATTTTCCGCCGGAGTACTCTTTCCGGTCGGAAGTGGAAGCTGACTGCTTAGCAGGAGGCGCGGATGCGGAGGGTTTGGTTTCGCGGGAGACTTCTC